AGTGGATTATTGCTGTACATGTCTGATTTTATGATTTAGTGAACCAGATAATACTCTGTTCACAATGGGCTGTTCTTTTTATACTGTCTCTTGGTTTTCCATAGGTGGGCATCTAATCTTTTCCTGGGCCTAGTAACAAACCATAAACCACAGACAGTGGTTGCTGGCAAATCCTAAGGGGTCTGAAACTGTTACTCTTTTCTTGCTGCTTATCAGAGAAAGGGTCCTTAACCCATTCCTGTTTGCCATGTCATTTCCAGTACTACTGGGTGAGCTGAGGCATAGGCTCAAAGGTTAGGGCAGCTTTCATTGCTCTAGAACCTTCTCTTGGAATGGGCTTTAGTAAAAACTGTCAGCCTCATAGGTTACCCAGTAAATGGGTCAGAACAGCATATCCAAGTTTTGAAACTCATTGTTTCACCTCTTTCTCAGTGGAAGTGGTGCAAGGTGCAGTAATTTCTCTCACCTGAGATGGGATATCCTGGCTCAGACCAGGGGAATCCTAGAAGCCATCAATATGATGAATCCCTGAACTTTCATGAGTTTTTTCTCACATTCTCTGGCTTGGGATGTGGGTCCATGTCTTACACAAGTGTCCAGGGTGCTTGCTAGTTCTGGCTCACCAGGTCCAGTTAAGATAATGCTATCCATGTGATGGACCAATGTGGTGATCTGTGGGCTGTCAGGGTGATCAAGGACTCTCCAGACTATATTATGGCCATGCAGACATAGCCCTCAGGTGAGACAGTGAAAGTATACTCTCTTTCTGCTACTTCATGCAATTTGCATCTCATTGTCCTTATAGACGATGATAGAAAAGAAAGCATTTACCAGTTTAGTAGTCATACCAGGTGTCCGGGGTTATGCTAATTTTCTTTAGCAAAACAATACCAAATTTACAAGCTCATTTGTAATTGATATCACCATCTGATTAAATTTATAGTAATCTATTGTCGTGTTCCAAGTTCTTTCCAGCTTTGACCTAGGTAAATGGGCAAGTTAAATGGGGATATAAGAAGATTCAACACCCCTTCATCCTTTAAGTTTTTGCTAGTGGTACTGATTTCTGAGCTTCTTCCATGGATGTGGTATAGCTTTTGGTTACTTTCTTAGTAGGAAAAGGGGAGTCAGTTCCAGAGGCTTCTTCATGGCCTTTTCTCCCATTAGAGCTTTAATGACATGGGACAGGGAACCAATATGGGAATTTGGCCAGTTACTAAGTATATCTATTGCCACTACAATTCTATTACTAGGGAAATAAGCACAGGATTGGCCTATGGTCCCATTGGACCCACTGTGATTCAGACTTATTCTTTAACTTTACCCCTGAAAGTCCCACTCTGACTTGTAAACCATGTTTTGGGTCTCTAGGAGATTAGTGTTATTTCAGAGCTAGTATCCAGTAACCCTTGGGAAGATTGTATGTTTCCCTTTCTGTAGTAGACAGTCATCCTGGGGAATTGCTGCAGGCCCCTTTCAGGAAAGGCCTGGGGAAAGATCCACAGTATATGCCTTTGGCCGTTTGAAGGGTCGCAATAGACTGGGCATAGTGGCTTATGCCTACAATCCCAGCACTTTGGGAGGTCGAGGTGGGCACTTTGCTTGAACTCAGGAGTTCTAGACCACCCTGGCCAACATGGTAGAAACCCCATCTCTGCCAAAAATACAAAAATTAGCCAGGTATGATGGTGCATGCCTGTGGTCCCACCTACTTGGGAGGCTGAGGTGAAAGGATTGCTTGAACCCCGGAGGTAGAGAGGTTGCAGTGAGCCCAGATTGCACCACTGCACTCCAGCTTAGGTGGCAGAGTGAGACCCCCATCTCAAAAAAAAAAAAGAGGTCACAATAATCTTATGTTTAGTCCCCCTTGATCTAAGATCCTTTGAATATATTCCTATATGTGCTCTTCACACTCCCACTGGTAAGTAAATTGTTGAGATCCTAAAATATTTTGGTATAAAGGCAGTCTTCTCCCAGAGTAGACTTGGAACTTCTTTCTGGGCTCCTTTGGGTTATGAGACAATGAAAGATGGTAGGAGTAGATAGGGAAGACAATTAGCATCATCAAGTTCAAATAAAACTTGAAAGAGTTTTTTTGAAGGGGAGGTATTGGGATGCAGGGTCTCCTCTGAGAGGTATAGGCAGCTGTTTTCAGCAAGGAACTTCAGCTGAATTTGGGGTTCAGCATTCTTAGCCTCATCTATGCCTACCCAAATCCCTGTGTCTATGATTCAAGTCATTCTCCTTTCCAGCCAGTGCTGTATGTTAACACGTGAGACTTTGCGGGGTTATATATTGAATTGGCTCTGCAACCCTAGCCATCAAACCCTGGGCTTTATCCTTAGTCTTCTCAGCTCAGCAACTGTAAGAGATGAAGGACTTGAATAAAACAGCCATGGATTTTCTACACATCTCTTTGGGAATTCACAGCTTTGACTTTGTCATTTGCTTTATGCACATTCTCAGGGACAGCCAGAAGCAGCCCCAGCCCACATTGCAGTCTCTGAAGTCAGTGTTTTCATCAGCCACTTGGACTTTGAGCACTCTCCACCTGCACTCCATCCTGTGACACCATGCACAGGTGGTAGTTTGAGTGATCATGACATCACTGTGTACAATCCCCTCCCTCCACAGGAAGGTTGTCAGGACACTTGTCAAATACACATTCCATTTTTGAGGCTATGTTTCTTGGGCTCATTCTTGGTACCGGTTAATTGGATCAGTCACATGGCACACTCAAAAGTAGTTGAAGGGAGTTTAACAAAGGGACTGTTAACTAAGATGTTGTGGGCAGGATTACAAGAACCAGCAAGGCATGGTGAAGCATCTCTTTACTAGCAAAGTCAGAAAGCTGTTATTATTCCCAGGCCGTTCAAATGTAGCTGTGGAAGAGGGGCTGCCTGCTAGGAACTATGGGCTTGGGTAGATAAACCACTGATGTCAGAAAGGGACTGAGGGAACAAATAACTTAGCATCTTGCTCCTCTTACCCTCTGATTTGCCAGAGACTCTCATGGCTGAACCCAGCCAGAGGGCAAAAGCAAGGTGTACTGCTTTAGTGTGCAGTCCATACAGGTCAAACTTCTGGACTTGTGGCTGGGTGGAGAAGGAATGGCATTTGGGTCTGGAAGGGCAGCTGGAGACTGTCTAGTAAGTTGCCAAACTAGAACCTTTGGCTCAGGTTCGAGTGTGCTTCTTGAGTGGCTTAACTACCACCTGTACCTGTTCTTAGATGTCCCCTGGGTACCTTAGAGGAAACAAGTTGTCCTGCCTACCATCTCTTTCCTTCTCTTTTATTCCGATGTCACTTAATGTGATATCTTACTGTCCCTTCCAAAAGGAGGACCTGAGGAATTCTGCTTCTGTGGGCTATAGCACAGCAAGATACAAACAGATAAATGCCAGGAGGACCTGCCACCCTGAGCCCCACATTCTCAAGGGAGAGATGTGGAAAGTATAGCTCATAACCTTCACCCTCTCAGTGTCTCTGCTGCAGGAGGAGAAGCATGGGCTAATGTGGCTTCTGAGCTTGCAGGACAGGGCCAGTCGCCTTAGAAGTGCAATGGGTTCTACCTGCTCTTGTGCTTATGCAGTAGATTACTCTGACAGGCGGGCCAAGTTCTGGTCAGGTGCTGCCCTGGTATTACTGGGATAAAGCAGCTGCTATTATGGGGCTTTAGAATGCTGTAATTTACAGACAGATGCTGTACTCTTTGTTGAGGAGGGACCAGTTACGTGTCTGTATATTCTAGCAACTAATTCAGCTGCATAGAAATTTTCCTGACTGCATTTCCAGCAGCAAATCCAACAAGGGAAGCTTTGAATCATCTTAAAGCTTAAAGGAAGCATTCTTATAATCAGTTAAAACTCATTATACCTGAATATTCAATACCTACTGATATATATTTTAAATCATTACCTGAACATTATTTATTTATAATATTCAGATCTGTTACAGTGACTCCCTAAAACTAACCACCCAGGAAAATTATCCTAGCAAACTGACACTTTAAAAAGTATTATATAGTCTCAGCACGGTGGCTAATGCCTGTAATCCTAGCACTTTGGGAGATGAAGGTGGAAGGAATGCTTGAGCCCAGGAGTTCAATACTAGCCTGGGCAACAGTGAGACTCCATCTCTTAAAAAAAAAAAAAAAAAGTATTGTTTGAGCCAGGCATGATGGTCTGTGCCTATAGTCACAGCTACTTGGGAGGCTCAAGCAGGAAGATAACTCGAGCTTAGGAGTTTGAGGCTGTAGTGTACCATGATTACACTTGTGAATAGCCACTGCACTCCAGCCTGGGCAACATAGCAACACCCTGTCTCTAAAAGAAAGGTATTATTTGGTGTCAGAGTATGGGATGCTCTCTGTAGCAAAGGTGACATTTTAGCCCTCTGTTCATGAGTGGGATTATATTAATATACTGCATTTATTCTGTATAAAGATCTACTCTAATGCCTCTGACCAGAGGTTTAGTACAAAAGAATCATCCACAGTTATAATGCAGCATAGTACAGTGGTTAAGAGTTGGAAATCTGGAGTCAGATGGCCTGGGTTCAAATCCTAGATGTACAAATTATTTTACCTCTCTGTGTTTTAGTTGCCTCATTTGTAAAATGAGTAAATAGTTATGTACTATACAGGATTATAATCTGAATTGTCCGGCACACTTGATGGGTTCATCCTAATGCAAGAGGTCTGAAAACCACGCTTTGATTACCTCCATCTAGATCTTTTCTAGGTGAGAGTTAACCCTTAGTCTATATGAACTGAGGTGTATAAGTTCCCGGAATTTTCTAATAGTAAGGAAGGTAGATGGACTGCAGATACTTGTGGCTTGTAATAGGAGCATAACAAACTAAAACTCTAATCTGGGCTGAGACTGATGAGCAAAAGTAAATTCGTTTCAGAATAAACATAAAATTAGTCCCATGCTTAAGAAATGACATAGTATTTTAAAATTGTTTTGCTAATCACTTTTTTTTTCCTGTTGGTTAAGGTTGCATGATGGAATTTGAACATTACTTCAAGAGGTTTTATATTTTGGATTAGCTAATTGGGGTTGTCCTCTGCTGACTGTTTCTTCGGACGCATTTTTTGGTGTGCTTTTGAGGCATTAAATGCAAAGATATCATACCATGGACTACAAGGAAAGCTGCCCAAGTGTAAGCATTCCCAGCTCTGATGAACACAGAGAGAAAAAGAAGAGGTTTACTGTAAGTATGTAACATAAAGCATGTGGGGAAAAAATTGAATATAGAGAATATTTCCATTTCTGCTTTTCTTCTTCAACCTAGAACACCCCTTTCCCCACCTCCACATATCTAGATTTTACTTATTTCACATGATCTGTTCTTCACAAAGTTTTCATGGCTACCGTAATGGAATAAATTTTCCTTTTTTAGTGTCTCTTTACTTATCCTCTTGGAGAATTGTATGAAACTATCTAAATAATCTTCTTAACAGAAAATGTGCATGTGCATACACCTGGATCTGTGCGCACACTTATAGTTTTGCATGCACCGTCAGGGGTTAATGGACTGGTGAAGTCATCGATTCCATATTAAGAACTGCTGCCCTGAAATGTTTATACATCTCTCAGTTTAAAAATATTTAATTCAGTATTTTATTTTTTTTCACCTTAAAGACTAAACCATGTCTAATTTTATCTTTTCTCACTGTAGTATCTACTATAGGGTTTTAGAAAGAGTAAGCACAATGAATATTTGCTCAATCTGTATATCAGTTTCTATTATTGGAGAGTAGTCACTTTTCTTAATAGTGTGATGAAACATACAATATTGTATTTCGTTCCAGTAGTCCTATTAGTATATACAGAGGTCTCCTGGCTTCCTCCCCCTGAAAAAAGCCATTTATCGTGTGTATTACTGATCTGCTCTTCCTTGTAACTCCCTATGCTTCTCACCTACTGAATAATATGAAGAAATTCATTTAGCCCAATTCTGTTTAATGCGTAGTCTAATCTAATAATTTAACCAGGTCTCAGGATAAAATGCTTAGCCTTTCTTACTTCTAATTTCTCTCTGACATGAACACACATCCTCCTCAGATTGGCGTCATGGTTTATGGGAGGAGAGGTGTCCCCTTTCACAGTAATTTTTTTTTTTTTTTTTTGAGATGGGGTCTTGCTTTGTCACCCAGGCTAGAGTACTGTGGTGCAATCTTGGCTCACTGCAACCTCCACCTCCCGGGGTCAAGCGATTCTCCTGCGTCAGCCTCCTGAATAGCTGGGACTACAGGGTGCACACCACCATGCCTAGATAATTTTTGTATTTTTAGTAGAGGTGGGGTTTTACCATGTTGGCCAGGATGGTCTCAAACTTCTGACCTCGTGATCTATTCACCTCAGCCTCCCAGGGTGCTGGGATTACAGGCGTGAGCCACTGCACCAGGCCCACAGTATTTTTGAGTTAATAAATGACCTCATGGTAGCCTGGTGAAGGCTCTTGAGTTCTTGCTATCCCTCTAAGTCTTTGCCATTTGAGCCGTAAAGTGGCTGGTCTGGCAAATAGCCAGCTATGACTCACTTGATAACTTGGGCATTTTGCTGGTATCCATTGCTGGCACCTGCAGTTTATGAACTAACTTGTGATCTCTTTGTTGGCTTGGCCAGGGTTTTGTGGCAACTCACCACTGACTCAAAGGCTCTGACATGTCTTTCACCTGCTCCTGGCTCAGTGGCCCACCCTAGCCTCTAAAAAGGGGGTCACCTGGTCACTGCCAGTTGAGTCTCATGAAAGGTGACTTTCAACTCAGAGTCCCTGTCACAGGGCAGTTAAGGAAAGCTGAGGAGTTAAACTAAATCCTTTGACTACTTCTCTCTGCCTTCTTAAGTAGGTGGGGCTGGGTATAGGAAAATGATGGTTTTTTCTCAAGGTCCCAGACAAGCAGCGGGGAAGTAGCCCCTCTGTCCTCTCTTCCTTAACAGACACACCTGCCAATTTCTCTGTACCACATCCCAGAGCAGAGAAATTGCAATGTGTGTCTGGCCCCTTATCCCTTTGCAGCCTCTACGTTGCAGGTTTATCTTAAACAGTAGGCATTTGTTGCACATTTGCATAAGCAAATTTTTAGCAATCATATTGAAGGTAAACAAAGGTTGTTATACCTTGAATAAAATGGTGGAGTGTGTGAAAGCTTTTCTTCCTCCCTTTCCTCTTTTTATTTTTGTCATTGGACCATTCTTTCCTTGAGGGATGCCTCCTACCAAATTTGATGGAAGTTCACACACAGCAAATGTCAGTGGCAGATTATCTCATGTGTCTGTTGATTTTTCAGGCTAGAGGTATTTCCATGTCTTCTGTGGGATGGTCGAGGAGACCTGTAGCATTTCTGTTACCCAGCTGTTCCTACACTGTGCACTGAGTTCTCAAAGGCCCAATCTAAATCACCTTATTCATTTACTTCCTTCAGATTCTCAAATAATTGCCTTATTAGAGAGGTATTTTCTGACCATCCTGTAAAAAATAGCACCTTCACATCCCACCCTACCCATCTCACTCTCTGTCCTGCTTTCCCTCCTGCCACATTTTGTGTGTGTTTGTATGTGCCTTCTTTGAGTAGAATGCAAGGTCCTTTGAAGCAAGAACTTCCTTCACTGTTGTTTCACCAGAACCCTAAAACAAAGATAGTAGGAATTCAAATAAGTATTGAATTGTTCATCTGTTATTTGCTGGTCACTATAGTGCAGTCCTCAATCCTCAAGAAACTTGGTTCTCTCAGTGCACATAGACCCTATCCCACCCAGCACAGACGCTCTGTTCAGCCTAGGTACCTATGTTATCAATACTATTTTTAAATTTAAATTTAATAGAGACAAGTTCTTGCTGTGTTGTGTAGGCTGGTCTCCTGGGCTCAAGTGATACTACTCCTGCCTCAGCCTCCCAAAGTGCTGGGATTACAGGAATGAGCCACTGAGCCCAGCCAAGAATACCATTTGACAAGATTCAGTAAGTGCTTTAATTGGTATGTTTATATATCTTGGAGAATCATATAAAAATGTTGATGTTAATATCAGTTTCAGAATATGAAAACACCATCCTTGGCAAAAGAGCCAGACTCTGTCTAAAAAAAAAAAAGAGAAAATGAAAACAGGTTTCATGTATTTAAGTAGCTAATGGATTTTTTTGCAATTAAATTTTGTTACATTATGTTATATTTTTATTTCCACAGGTTTATAAAGTTCTAGTTTCAGTGGGAAGGAGTGAATGGTTTGTCTTCAGGAGATATGCAGAGTTTGATAAACTTTACAACACTGTAAGTAATAGTCTACAAGATTTCTAATAAAAAGAAAGCACCCGAGGAAAATCCCAAAATAAAAGAAATATATTTGAATGATTAATTTGATACTCATATATCAATATGTCAGACAAGCAGACAAGGAGGGTAAGAGATTCTTCAAAAACACCCTAACTTTGGAAGGCTTACAAAGAAAGGGTGGAGAGAGGACTGCTGAACAATTCCAAATAAACCATTGAAAATATGACAACTAGATAAAATACCTTTTAATGTCATAGAAAATTAGAAATCAGGTCTTTCTACTTAATTCCCTGATAATTGTTAATCGTCATGGTATTTCTGGTTTAATTGCCCAACTGTAAGCTTTATGTTTGAAAGTCTATCATGAGCCTATCTCCCTTCCATAGTTTCCATTTTATCTTAGAGATAAGTCTTAGGTTCCAGATTTTTAGTAGCCAACACAACTGGAATGAGTGTTGAATTTCAGAAGTTCTGACTGTTACCTGCGTGGTGAGATCTAACAGACCATTAGCTGTTTAGATTACTAAAACCTGTTTTTATATTTTCATAACTCAGATATTAAATAGTATTCATAATTTAGTGTTTGCAGTACAACTTTCTAAGTAGGCAGCAAGAAGCCAGGCACGATGGTTCATGTCTGTAATTCCAGCACTGTGGGAGGCTGAGGCGGAAGGAACACTTGAGCCCAGAAGTTCAGAGGGTGCAGTGAGCAATGATCGCACCGTTGCACTGTAGTCTGGACAACACACTAAGACCCCATCTAAAAAGATAAAAGTAGGCAACAAGACTACCACCACAGTCGCTGTCATACATTAGTCCATATCCTCCACAGGTAGCAGTGTTTGTGGATAGCATTGTCTTGAAGATCATACATAGAAGCCAAAGCATGTTTCTTGAATTATAAATAGCTGTTATGGAACTCCAGGTCATTAAGACAGTCCTGGATTTAAAGCTTTGCTTCAGTTTGGAACAAAAGCAGTTGTGCCTGAAATCCCCAATTTTTTTTTTTTTTTTGAGACAGGGTCTCACTCTGTCACCTAGGTTGGAGTGCGGTGGCATGATCTTGGCTCACTGTAACTTCTGCCTCCCAGGTTTAAGCAATTCTCCTGCCTCAGCCTCCCAAGTAGCTGGGATTATAGGCATGAGTCACCAATGTCTGGCTAGTATTTTTGTAGTATCAGGGTTTCGCCAGATTGGCCAGACTGGTCTCAAACTCCTGGCCTCATGTGATCTGCCCACCTCAGCCTCCTAATGTGCTGAGATTATAGGCATGAGCCACTGTCGTTGCCCTCAAATCCCAAATTGAAATTCCTCTGCTCTCATGCAATAATAAATAGGAATCTCCCAGTGTCTTTTTTTTTTTTTTTTTTTTGAGATGGAGTCTTGCTCTGTTGCCTAGGCTGGAGTGCAGTGGTGCAATCTCAGCTCATTGCAACCTCCATCTCCTGGGTTCAAGTGATTCTTTTGCCTCAATCTCCCAAGTAGCTGGGACTACAGGTGCACTCCACCATGCCCTGCTAATTTTTATATTTTTAGTAGAGATGGGGTTTCACCATATTGGCCAGGCTGGTCTCGAGCTCCTGAGCTCGTGATCAGCCCACCTCAGCCTCCCAAAGTGCTGGGATTACAGGTGTGAGCCACCATGCCTGACTCAGTGTCATTGTTTAATGAATGATAGATTACTAGGCATCCTCTGGAAAAAACTCTGTTATATATTTGTGAAAGTAATTATTTTCATTTCTTAACCCTGTCTCTTGATTTTAAACATAGGAGTAAATATATATATGCTTATGGGTTATCATTTGTAAGATTTTTTTGAATATGCAGAAAGTTATACATATATCAATTAAGAGACAAATTACTTCCTAAATGGGTCAGAATTAATCAAACAATGTCTAGCTGTACAACTTCCTGTGTTTTGTTAAGTTGTGAAAATTAGACTCCTGATTCATCTTTATTCAGCATTTCACTATGTATATATTTGTTCCTGATATTCAAATCACTTGCTACTTGAAGTTGGACTTCTAAAGATAATATTGCAATTTAAAAATATTTTTTCCTATGTAAAATTAATAGCGAGACTCCATCTCTACAAAAAAGTCACAATAAAAAATTAGCTGGGTATAGTGGTACATGCCTATAGTCCTGGCTACTTTGGAGGCTGTGGTAGGAGGATCACTTGAGCCTGGGCAGTTGAGGCTGCAATGTGCCATGACCATGCCACTGCACTCTTGAGACACTCTCAAAACAAAAACAAGAACAAAACATCTGTAACGTTGCTACTCAGAAATAGCTGTTAACATTTTACTGTTTTCTTCTGTTGTTTAACTTTTCTTTAATGCATATACAACTGCACTTAATACACATTGAGTATCCCTTATCTGAAATACTTGGAACCAGAAGTGATTTGGATTTCTTTTTTTTTTTTTAATTTTGGAATATTTGAGTTATACTTATCACTTAAGCATCCCAAATCTGAAAATCTGAAATCTGAAATGCTCCAGTGAGCATTTCCTTTGAGCACTCAAAAAGTTACTGGTTTTGGAGCCTTTCAGATTTCAGATTTTCAGATTTGTGATACTCAACCTGTATAGTTTTAGATATTTGCTTCATCAAAGGATATTGAGATAGGTTTTTTTTTTCTGTAATTAAAGTTACACTCTTGAAACAATAGCCAATAAGAGTACATGGGAATAACTTCCATAAGTTTTTAGTGATTTTTAAAAAATGGCTTTTATTGGAGGCTGAGTGAGAACTGAAGTGTTAACTCTCTTTGGAACTCTTGAATACCCATTATTACATGTTCAGCACATCTTTGAGGAGTGTGTAAATACAACTGTACCCATCAAGATGCCTGGGTTAAGCTTGGGTAAAAATAACATGACTGTAGTCTGTCTCTCTCTGTCTCTCCTTCTCCTTCTCCCTCTCCGTCTCTCCCCCTCTCTCCCTCTCCCCCTCTCCCCCTCTCTCCTTCTCTCCCTCTCTCTCTGTCACACACACACACACACACACACACACACACACACACACATTTGAGGCTTCTTTCTGTCTTTTGCTTAAAATATTTCATAGGCTAGATTTACCTTCTAAACATGATGTGTTTTGTGAAACTCTTCATAAGAGGAAAGGGTATAGAAAATGTCACCGAAAAACTCAGCATTGTGGAGATCCACACCAATAGTTTGTCTTCATGATGTTTTCATGATTTAAATAGCTGGTGATTAATTAAAATGAGTGTTAATATTTGAGTATCTGTAAGCATAAAAATAAAATAGGAAAGCTTGTTTGGTGTACCTCCATCCATGATCACTTGCATTCTCTCTTCCGTGAAACATCCCATCTTTCAACTTTTTGCAGAAGAATTTCCTTAACATGTAGTTCAGTTTTTATCATTTATCCCCATTTTTCGTTGTTCTTATTTCATCACTTTCTATGTCTCTCTCTTTTTATATAACTCCTTCTAATTCTGCCTCCTGTGGTGAGCGGCAAAGAAAAAAATAGGAAAACAGTTATCGTTGAATTCTTTGAAACTATAGAAATCAGGATAAACCTGGCCTGGATTTCCCTAAGTTCAAAACCATACATTATTTTCCTGTACTCCTTTTAGAATAAAAGAAAACTGTAGGCATTTTAATTCTCAATTTCAATGTGTTCTTTATGACTGTAGTTTATATTTTAAACTTTTTATTATAGAAATTATCAAACACAGGTGAGGTGCAGTGGCTCACAGCTATAATCCTAGCACTTTGCAAGGCTCAGGCAGGAGGATTGCTTGAGCTCAGGAGTTCAAGACCAGCCTGGGCAACATAATGAGACTGTCTCTACAAAAAATAAAACAACTTGCTAGGTGTGGTGGCATGTGCCTGTGGTCCCAGCTACTCAGGCTGAGGGGAGGATCACTTGAGTCCAGGAGGTCAGTGCGGCATTCTAGCCTGGGTGATAGAGCAAGACATTATCTTAAGGGGGAAAAGAAAAGAGAGAAAGAGAGAGTGGGGAAGGAAGAGAGGGAAAGGAAGAATAAAGGAAAGGAAGAGGGGAGGGAAGGGGAAGGGGGAAAGGAAAAGGGAAAAGGAGTCAAACACATACAGAAGTAGACATACTAGCACCAGTTCAGAAAGTAATATTCTGATACCATCCAGCTTCAATAATTACTGATACATGGCTGTTCCTGGTTCATCTCTATCCCTAGCCAGCCCACCATAATTTTGACACAAATTTCAGGCATCATATATTTTCACCTATAAATATTTTAGTATGCATCTCTAAAAGATAAAGATTCTTAAAAATAAAACATATATACAATACCATTACCACATCTAAAAATAAGAGTAATACCATAATGTCAGATATCCAGTTAGGGTTTATATGACTGGTTGATAAGTCTGTTAAGTGTCATTTAATCACTAGGTTGCCCGTTTGCCTGCCTCTCTTGTTTCCTTTACGTATTTGTGTGTGTGTGTGTGTGTGTGTGTGTGTGTGTGTGTGTGAAAAACAGGGTCATTTGTTTACATATCTTTCAGCCTCCATTTTACTGGCAGTATGCCCCATGCCGTAAAGTGATTAGTACATTCCTCTGTTCTTTGTATTTCCTGTTAGTTGGTAGTTAGATGTATAGTTTTTGGGTGTTTGTTTGTTTGTTTGTTTGTTTGTTTGTTTTTGGTCAGACAGGTTGTTGCTCTGTCACCCAGGCTGTATTTCAGTGGCATGATCACGGTGCACTGGACCTCCCTGGCTCAAGCAATCCTCCCACCTCAGCCTCCTGCAAATTGTATAGCTGGACTACACTCAGCTGATATATATATGTATATTTTTGGTAGAGACAGGTTCTTGCTATGCTGCCCAGGCTGGTCTGGAACTCCTGAGCTCAAGCAGACCTCCCACCTCAGCCTCCCAAAGTGCTGGGATTACAGGCCTCAGTGAGCCACCATGCCCAACTGAGATACAGTTTTGTGTGTGTGTGTGTGTGTGTGTGTGTGTGTGTGTGTGTTTGACATCAAACTTACAATGAAAGTATAACCCATTTTTATGACTTGACTGCCCCAAATTTAATTTCTTCAGGGTCACATTTTCCTTCTCTGAAGACAAGCATATCTGATGAACAAATGTATCAGAATACTTTTTTTTTTTTTTCAGACACGGTCTCACTCTGTTGCCTAGGCTGGAGTGCAGTGGCATAATCATGGCTCACTGCAGCCTCAGGCTTCCAGGCTCAAGCAATCCTCCCATCTCAGCCTTAGGAGTAGCTGGGACAATAGGCATATGCCACCATGCCTTGCTATTTTTATTTTATTTTATTTTACTTTTGTAGAGACGAGGTCTCACTTATTAGAATATTAATAAGGGGAAGGTTAGAGCAGAAAGAGGGTATTGAAAGCAAAATTCATCTGCTTTCTTAGAAATCTATTGTCAACCTATTCATGTAGAGAAAACACCAGGAACATATCTTCTCCTAAGATAATAAATGGATAATATGTATTTGAACTGTAACACCAGGTTCTAGCCTAAGGACTAACTTTACATGATCTCCTTTAAAACTCACAGCAAGGCCAGGCACGGTGGCTCATGCCTGTAATCCCAGCACTTTGGGAGGTTGTAGTGGGTGGATCACGAGGTCAGGAGTTCAAGACCAGCCTGGCCAACATGGTGAAACTCTGTCTCTACTAAAAGTACAAAAATTAGCTGGGCATGGTGGCGCATGCCTGTAATCCCAACTACTCCAGAGGCTGAGGCAGGAGAATTGCTTGAACCGGGACCCAGGACCCGGGAGGCAGAGGTTGCAGTGAGATGAGATCACGCTGCTGCACTCCAGCCTGGGCTATAGAGTGAGACTCTCAAAAAAAAAAAAAACCTCACAGCAAATCTGTAAGGTAATTGTTAAAATTGTCCTCATTTTACAGGCAGGAAAATGAGAAACAGATGTTAAGTAGTTTAGCCTAGGTCGGGTCACACAGATACTAGGTATTGTATTGGGACAAAAAAAGATAATTAGTTTGTGGCATTTTATTGGTATAATTTATATTGTACTTTGGATGATCATATATTCAAAAGTTTGTCTTATAATGGATTTTCTTTAAAATTAGATTGTATTTGGTTTTGATGCATGCATAACTAGAAGACTTATAAAATTAGTTCATGTAATGTTATTTTTAAAAATTTTAGTTAAAAAAACAGTTTCCTGCTATGGCCCTGAAGATTCCTGCCAAGAGAATATTTGGTGATAATTTTGATCCAGGTAAGCAACAACTTCATAGGCCAGCTATGAAGTGATCATTGAAGTTTGAAGAAGTAAATTAATGTATTCATTGTACTGTATAGCAGTGCAGGACTTTAAAAGATCTCATGCTCTATGAAAATAATGCCTCAGGAAGGTGATTACTGTCTACTAGGCGTTGTTATGAGTACTTCATGTGCTTAAATTCGTTCGATCCTTGCAACTTTGTGAGATGGGTATGATTATTGTTACCACTATTTTACAGATAAGGAAACTAAGGCACAGTCAGGTTCATTAATTTGCTCAGGATCATATACAGATAGTAAAGGGCAGATTTGGAATTTAAAGTCAAGTAGTCTGATTTCAGATAAATTTATTTGTCCTGGGCTGGTCGCAGTGGCTCTCACCTATAATTGAAACACTTTTGGAGGCTGAGGCAGAAGGATCACTTGAGGCCAGGAGCTTTGAGACCAGCCTGGGCAACATAACAAGACCTCATCTCTACAAAAAAATTAAAAATTAGCTGGATATGGTGGCATGCACCTATAGTCCCAGCTACTCAGGAGGTTGATGCACAAGGATTGCTTGAGGTCAGTAGTTCAAGGTTGCAGTGAGCTGTTATCATGCCACTGCACTCCAGACTGGGTGACAGAGTGAGATGCTATTAAAAATTTTTTTAAATTGATCCTTCAGGTTAATTTGGGAAACTTCTCTGACTTTAAATCAGCGTCATGAAGAATATTCACTTTTATATTCAGAAACATTAAATGTATACTGTGTACATAGCAACTTGCAGGACTCTGAATGGGATACCAAAAAGATATCCTATTGCTCACCCTTTGGGAGCCTATTGACACTATTGACACATAGGGTCTCAGTTTCTAGTGCCTATATGACTGAAGCTGCAAGCATGGAGTTTTTCCCTAGAACCCAAGAGATTAATCCAGGTCACAGATGGCTACTTATAGGGAAACAGAAGTCTTCTTATCCACCAGGAATTCTATCAGAAGAGTCAGCTATATCTGCCACAGATGAATCCCGAATAGATTACCCTCCTTCCCCAACTAATTTGCTTGTAACCTTGTAACTGGTTAAATTGATAATACCTTACATGTCTTTGTTCTTGGTCACTACTCATGATGAAAGCTCTAAGGTCCCTTATCTTGACTGTGCTTTCTCTCTGCATCCTAACCTTATACCGTTCATTTCCCTCCCAGACCATGTTACTGTGTCCTGTGGAATCTTGCCCACCATTAGCAGACTGCTCTTTATCCTGCATCTTTTTTCGTATTTCTTCCACATTCTTGCTTTAATTAAAACATTTTTTTCCCCAGAGGCTGCTTTGCCTATAGCCCTCTCAACTGGAGGCTTGCTATTATTTACACTTTTTTTTTTTTTTTTTTAATAATAAAGATGGGGTTTCACCATGTTGGTCAGGCTGGTCTTGAACTCCCGACCTCTGGTGATCTGCCCGCCTTGGCTCCAAACTGCTTGGATTACAGGCGTGAGCCACCACACCCAGCCTATTCTTTACACTTTATGAACCTCAGGATTGAAGAATGTTCTGATTTCCGTGGTTATATACAGATCTTTTTTTCTCTTGGGAGTATATAGCACATTTCATTGTAATTGCTAATCTGTCTTATAGTAGGCTGTAGATTTTCTGAAGGTGGGGACTTACTTCTTTTTTTATTGGTTTATAGTGGCAGTATACTGGTTTTAAAGTAATACTTTAAAACTACTAGACAAATAGTAGATTTTAAAGTATTACTAAATATGTGAACCTATTACTAAAGAGAAGCAATAGAAAACTGAGTTGGCACAACAAAGCTAGATTATATTCTGTGGCTTTTATACTCTTGCTTTGTTTTCAGCAGCAGAACACTTTTTTCCCAGTTTAAATCTTATGAAGGCCAGATATGGTGGCTATGCCTGTAATCCCATCACTTTGGGAGGCCGAGGTGGGCAGATCACTTGAAGCCAGAAGTTTGAGACCAGCCTGGCCAAAATGGCGAAACCCCATCTCTACTAAAAATAGAAAAATTAGCTGGGCATGGTGGTGTGCACCTGTAGTCCCAGCTACTCGGGAGGCTGGGGCAGGAGGATCACTTGAACCAGGAGGTGGAGGTTGCAGTAAGCCAAGATTGCACTACTGCACTCCAGCCTGGGCACCAGAAAAAAAAAAAAAAAAAAAAGTGGGGCGTGGTGGCCCATACCTGTAATCCCAGCACTTTGGGAGGCCGAGGCGGGCGGATCACCTGAGGTCAGGAGTTTCAGACCAGCCTAACCAACATGGAGAAATCCCATCTCTACTAAAAATATAAAATTAGCTGGGTGTGGTGGTGCATACTTGTAATCCCAGCTACTCAGGAGGCTGAGGCAGGAGAATCGCTTGAAACTGGGAGGCGAAGGTTGCAGTGAGCCGAGATTGCGCCATTGTGTTCCAGCCTGGGCAACAAGAACAAAACTCTGTCTTGGGGAAAAAAAAAAAAAAGAGCAACGTACAAGAACTCCTTTAATGAAAAATCTGGAATACATCTTGATGTTTGCTTGGGTAACAGGACATATAGAGAAGAGAATGAGAGATAATTGGAGGGTCAGGCCTGGGTGACTGAGAGAATTAACTAATTAGAAATGGCAGAAAAATATTAAGAATCAAACTACTAGTGATAGATAATATGAGACTTGAACTTGAGTTGAAGTTCTGTAGATCCCTTAATTGAATCCTTAAAACAATCATTTCATCAAGGGAAGAAGGCAGAGAAGTAAGACTGGCAACATTGCTGCTTTGTTGTTAAAGGCAAGATACCAGGCTGAATGCTCTTTGGTACTTTGTTTTTGTGAATTAATTGACACTAAAAACTGATTTTTTTGAAGAATTCTTTGTCCTGCGTATATTATATATGACTTGGCGACAATGAAAAGGATGGTATGTCACAGAGATCTTGGAAAGTCCTGCATTGGGAAAATCAAATTTAAGTCAAATTCAGAAAAACAGATGGATAAGATGCTCATTTGGTTACACTTTGGTGATACAGGCATTCCCATATTTTTCTAATAGAATAAAAAGTGGTACAATCCGTGTTGAGGGGAATTTGGTAATATTTAGGAAAACTGTGAATGCATTTTCCACTTTGGCCAAGAAATCACATTTCTAGGAATCTGTCCCCAAAATAAACTGCATGTGACATAATTTACACACAGCACTGTGTAGTGTGACAAATTTTTAATAGAAAATCTGGAAACAATGGAAATATTTTTCCAATGGAGCTAGATATAATGTACCTGTAAAAAGGAACAAAAAAGCTCTTCATGTATTTTGTTGTGGTGTGATCTCCAGAATATGCCATTAAATGGAAAAAAAAATCACGGTGTAGCAAATGAGTTTGTATGGTGTGTATTTTTGTGTGGAAAAAGATATGGGGATTCAAAAGGAAATAATGGAAGTTAAATAAAAAACTAATAAAACTAGTGACTTAAGGATGAGAGAGAGATCAGGAAAGACAAAAGGGGTGGAAGTTAGATGACCTTGAATAAATTTTGTTTATGTCTTTGACTTTGGAACCATGCACACATTTTTAAATACTTTAAAAACAAAAGTAAAAATACAATAACAAAGCAGCCTCTAACAACTGAAAATAAACCGAAGGAAAAAACCTAACTTAATTTAACTTTAAAACATGGGATTTTCTTCATGGGATATATTGCTAAGGATGAAAACAAAAACCCATGGACAAATTTTACACTGCATTCCATAATGTTATTGTTAGTTATATGGAGTTGTTATTCTATAATTACGTTACTATCATGGGAACCAAGATTTTAAGCAGGAGAGGAAAGTGGTACATATAAAATCAAAGATTTCAAGTAAAAATACTCTAATTTTTGACTTAATTTGGAAATATAATATGAAATCATAACTTATTTATTTATTTTTTTGAGATGGAGTTTTGCTTTTGTTGCCAAGTCTAGAGTGCAATGGCGCAATTCCGGCTCACTGCAACCTCTGCCTTCTGGGTTCAAGTGATTCTCCTCCCTCAGCCTCCTGAGTAGCTGGAATTACAGACATGTGCCATCATACCGGGCTAATTTTTGTATTTATAGTAGAGAAGGGATTTCACCATGTTTGCCAGGCTGGTCTCGAACTCCCGACCTCAGGTGATCCACCTGCCTTGGCCTCCCAAAGTGCTGGGATTACAGGCGTGAGCCACAGCACCTGGCCTATTATTTTTTTTTTTAACCTCTGTACAAATATTTTCTAGCATTCTCTTCTGGAAATACCTAAAAGCGATAACAAGTAGTAACCAACACCCCTAACATTTAGATTGCAATCTCTAAATATCATTTTTCTCTCAAAGGAACCAGAGTTCCATGGAGAAGTGGTGATCCCAGATCTGGGGCAGGAAATGTGCAAAATAATCTCAGGACAGCTTGCCTGAAAGCAAGGAAGCTATTTAGGATGACTGCAGTTTTACCAAAAGAACACAAAACACAACAAAAGCCCAGTTGTTGGGGCTTTCATTGAGCAAAGATTAGACAGAGCATGGAGAAAGTAACAGCAGGTTACAGCGCATCGATTATAAACACTTTTCAATTTACTTTGACTCTTTGGTGGTGGGGGAAACCTCATGAAATGCTGTAGAGGTTACTAGAGTAGATTTATTCCCCAAGTCAATAAATGAAAGAATCAAGGGTTTATCTTGCCTTTGTTGTATGAAATGTAATTTCTTTGTACCAAAGAGATAATGTTGGAAAATAATTCATAGAGGAATCACAATTCATAAATAGAAGAATCCCAGAATAATAGAACTGGAAAATCCTTGTACAACTTCAAAGATCATCAGTGAAAGACTTTACTGGGACAGAAAGATCCACTTCTAAGATGGCTCACTCTTGTGGATTTTGGTATAAAGCCTCAGTTCCTTGTGAGTGGGCCTCTTCTTAAAGAACTTTGAGTGTTCTTACAACATGGCAGCTGGCTTCCCCAGAACAAGTGATCCAAGAGAGCTAGCAAGGAGGAAGCCTCGTTGCCTTCTACCACTTAGTCTTGGAAGTCACATGCCATCACATCCACCATATTCTGCTCATTAGAAGGTAGTCATTAAGTCCAACCCCCATTCAACATAGGAGTAGAATTAAGTTCTACCTGTTGATTGGAGGGAAATAAAAGAATTTATAGACATTATGAGATAGTGATTTCATGGCTTTACCATTTTTTAAGATATTACCATTTAGAGATACACACTGATTTATTTCCCCACACCAAAA